TCGGCGTCGACGCCGACGCTCGGCGCCGGAGGCGGCAACGCGCCCGACGAGCTCTCGACGCTTTCGCTGAGCGCGGAGGCCGGCGAGCGACGGTCGCCACGGCGACCTGCATCCGCCGCCGCTGCCCTGTCGTCCCCCGACATCGTGTCTAGTCTGTCGCCGACAGGTTCGAGCATCGCGCGAAGCGAGTCGAGCGAGCGCGGTGGTCGACCGACAAAGGCGGCGGAGGAGGATGCTGGGAAGGGGGCGGCGGCGGCGTGGAGGCGGGAGACGGGCGCCGATTCGACGTTTAGGACACTGCAGCCGGACGCGACGACCGAACAGACGTTACACGACAGCACTGGCTTCGCAAGCCTCGTCGGGCCGCCATCTCTAGCTGGGTCGCTAGCCGGGCCGCCATCGCTTGCTGGGCCGCCGCACGATGCCGCGGCACGCGCATCGTCGGAGTCTCGCCCCATAGGGGGCGCCGGCGGCGGGGAGGTGCGGTCGAGTCTCGAGGCGCGCCCCGTCACGACGATGAGGGTCGTCACTCCGAAGGAGATATTCGTGATCGAGCTTTGCTGCGTCGGTGCAACCGTCAAGCGAGACGTTGACATCTACAATCCGAACGGTGAGCGTAGTAAGCAGACCTGCCAACCCTTATGATTTTTTCATATTCCTTACTAATTCCAAGATGTTTTTACGAATGTACGATCAAACTGAAAAACTTACGATTTTTTACGACTTGTGAAAATTAATGTTTTTTACATTGTGAGCCGAGAAATATCTGGTGATTGTGGGCGCAGCCATATTGGATCACGCGTTCACGTTGTTCTCGCGTGATCTAGAGTTAGTCCCATCATTCATTGCGCGCATAACATACAAACGAAATGGCCGCCTGCTGCAAGAATTTTATTCCGTCATTAATAAATTCATTAATTCCTATAAAGTAAGTGATGCCTTACTATTTTCATGAATCACAGGTTGGCAGGTCTGAGTAAGTCGCGCCGTACGCTGTGGCTAGTAGTTGCCCGGCCGTTCGGCTTGGCATGATCCAATTCTGCAATCGTCATTACACAACTCGCGAGAATTCTTCAAGCTTTCCATATGACGAAAATCATCAAAATTTGAAAACACAGCGAGACATGAAGTTTGCTGTATTAGAACATGTAATACTAAGTGAAGCATATATCTATTTAGTATTAGAATGTAGCGACATGTTTTTATATCGGAAATGTCTTTATTGACACATTGGAATGGATGCAAGTGCAGAGATGCCAACCACTTCAGTGGCGGCCCATATCTCACAGATGCTGCTGGCAGTGGCGGCCCATATCGCATGGATGCTGCTGGCAGCAGTGGCGGCCCATATCGCATGGATGCTGCTGGCAGCAGTGGCGGCCCATATCGCATGGATGCTGCTTGCAGCGGCGACCCATATCACACAGATGCTTGTGGTGATGCCCCGCATCAAACAGACGCTGGCAGCGACGGCGATACCCTCGATGTGACCATCACGGTTTCGAGCGGGATAGACTTCAGCGAGGCCGTGACCGGCGCAGACGTCAGCCTGAGCAGCGGGAGCATTCCCAGTGACATCCCCGACCTCACTAGCAGCTCCGACGACGACAGCAGCTACGACGGTGAAGACGAGGGGAAGGGCTACAGGAAGACGCTGGACACGTCGAAAAATGGGAAACACGAGGATGACAGCTACGGGAAGACGCGGGATGGTTCCGGAGATTGGAAGAACGACGGGAATCGTTACGGGAGAGCGCGGGACGCTTCCGTAGATTGGGAAAACGACGGGGAGCGCTACGGGAGGACCCGGGATGCTCCCGGCGGTGGAGAAACCGACTGGGGTACCGGCAGGGGAACGCGGGACGCTTCCGGAGACAGGGAAGACTCGCGGGACAGCGTCGGGGGAACTCCGACGACGAGACTCGACGACGACGCCTTCCGCAACCTGCTGACTCGGACGGAGACGAAGCGTCTCAGTGAGCCGGCGCCGGCCGACTCGATAGAGTTCGACGAGTCGACCGAGACGGCGTCTCGACGAGACGCCTTGCCCGGGCGCGCCTCGGTGCACACGCCGTGGATCAGTGGCATGAGTAAGCTGTCGTCTGCTGCCGGCAGCGCGGCGCTGCGCGAGGGTGGGCAGGGGGAGGCGACGCGTCCGCCCGCGACCTCAGCGCTCAAGGACATGCTGCTGTCGCTGAGGTGCTTCCAGGAGATTCGCGCGGAGGACGAGCGAGCTGCGGCGGACATTCCGAATACAGATCAGCTGGCGGTTGATCCAGCGTCTCGCGGCCAGGCGCTGGCTGCGAAATATGTTGCCGGTACGATGGCTGGGTCTCTGGAGAGCACTGCTGCTGCATTGGCCTTGACAGAGTTTCCTGGCGGTGGGTCGACGGAACCGGATGCAATAACGAACAGCTTCGAGAAGGAAGGCCTACAGACCGTCGTGCGAAGAATCAGTCACATAAGCGCGCTCGATTCAAGCAGGGCCGTTCCCGAGTTGAACCTTCCGGCGAAGTCGCCCCGAGGCGCGGAACTGGCGTTGGCGACGGCGAGCGATTGCTATGACGACGACGACGCGGCGGTTGCCGGCGGCGACGTGCTCACGTGGTTGTCGTCGCGCGGTGACTACGCAGCAGCGGAACACGACAGCTACCTGCTCTCCTTGCAGAGTCGCTTGCTGCGGCTGGAATCAGCGAACACGTCTGCGCAGAACTCGGGCACAGAGGGCGCCACCGCGAGGCGGGACGCGGCACGCGGCTCGCTGCCGATCGTCTTCGACACGTCCGAGATCCCGGAGTTCGAGGAGGGAGCATACGTCGGCACGTACCGCACCGCCTTCTCTCTCCCCGACGCTCTCATCGGAGGGAGGCTCCTCCCCGCCGAGAGGGGAGGAGGAGGAGGGTGGCCAGCCACGTCCCGCGTCGTCCCGACGACGGACAGCGGTCAGCTCGACGCTGGCGGTCCGAGAGCGAGTCTCACCGGTGGACGCCAGGTGGCGCGACGTCGACGTTCGACGCGCTGACGAAGCTGCGCGTCGAGGAGGTCAACCGGAGGTCGTCGCCGTGTACAGCCTGCCGACCGTCGATCGTGCGCACGGCGCCAGCCGAGTCGGAGGCGAGCGTCGCTTGCGTCGTGGTCGACGCTGACGCTTGGGCCGAGGCGGCAACGCGCCCGAAGCTCTCGACGGCTTTCGCTGAGCACGGAGGCCGGCGAGCGACGGTCGCCACGGCGACCTGCATCCGCCGCCGCTGCCCCGCCGTCGCCCCGACACGAGTCTAGTCTGTCGCCGACAGGGTTCGAGCATCGGCGAAGCAGTCGGCGAGCGCGTGGTCGACTGACAAGGCGGCGTGGAGAGGACGCTGGGAAGGGGGCGGCGGCGTGGAGGCGGGAGACGGCGCCGGATTCGACGTTCAGGACACTGCAGCCGTGTGCGACGACCGAACAGACGTTACACGACAGCACCGGCTTACGCAAGCCTCGTCGGCGCGATCGCTATGCTGGGCCGCTCGATGGGCCGCCATCGCTTGCTGGGCCGCCGCACGATGCCGGGCACGCGCATCGTCGGAGTCTGCGACCCCATAGGGGGGCGCCGCGGCGGGGAGGTGCGGTCGAGTCTCGAGGCGCGCCCGTCATGACGATGAGGGTCGTCACTTCCGAAGGAGATATTCGTGATCGAGCTTGCTGCGTCGGTGCGACCGTCAAGCGAGACGTTGACATTCTACAATCCGAACGGTGAGCGTAGTAAGCAGACCTGCCAACCCTTTCGTACTCTTACTAATTCCAAGGATGTTTTACGAATGTACGATCAAACTGAAAAACGTTTGTTTATACATTGTGAGCCGAGAATAATTGGTGATTGTGGGCGCAGCCATATTGGAATCACGCGTTCAGTTGTTCTCGCGTGATCTAGAGTTAGTCCCATCATTCATTGCGCGCAGTAACATACAAACGAAATGGCGCCGCTGTCAAGAATTTTATTCCGTCATTAATAAATTCATTAATCTTAAAGTAAGTGATGCCTTACTATTTTCATGAATCACAGGTTGGCAGGTCTGAGTAGTCGCGCCGTACGCTGTGGCTAGTAGTTGCCGGCCGTTCGGCTTGGCATGATCCAATTCTGCAATCGTCATTACACAACTCTGCGAGAATTCTTCAAGCTTTCCATATGACGAAATCATCAAATTGAAAACACAGGAGACATGAAGTTTGGTGTATTAGAACATGTAATACATAAGTGAAGCATATATCTATTTAGTATTAGAATGTAGCGACATGTTTTTATCACGGAAATGTCTTTATTGACACATTGGAATGGATGCAAGTGCAGAGATGCCAACCACTCTGATTTATCCGTATTTTATACGAATTTCTATTCCTTTTGCACCACTAGTCCCACTACGACCAGTTTGTATCAAACTACGAATTTCACTGTGATCGGAATATTTTTTTTGTCAATTATTGTCAATTTATTGTCATTTTTTACCCTCAGAATGCAGGAAATTGCATCTCAGAATCAAACAATCTTTTCCTGGGGGGGACATGCCGGACCCCACCTACAAACTCCGGGTCACTACGTGACGCCTCAATCTTCTAATTGATGGCGCAGAACTACACGATTGCCTTCATATATGTGTTGCATCTCTGCACAGTGTTATATATCGGGTTGTTTTTTAAACGAGACAAGTGGGTGGTAGTGACCTTGGGCAATTTTAAGTCCGGTGGGTACAGATTGATGGCAAGCAGGTTGACATGTTCAACAAGACCTGCAGTACTACTGGTTAAAGCGTTCGGTGGTTTTAGCATCCCTGTCTACCAAAAACTGTGGAGGTGGCTGTTCGTGGTAGCCACAACGAAAGTTTTTCGTAAAGAAATCTGTTTTCGTTTTAACAGGCTTTTTTTAAATTTCAAAGAATTTCTTCCAATATTTTTCGTTTGTAATAATGTGCGTTATTTATATTATATCTAAGCTATATTCTTCAGAATATTTATCTTTTAATGGTTTGTTGCTGTAAATTGTATACTGTAAATTTAATCCTCAATGATAATTGTCTGTGTAACTTTTATTGCACTGATAATATGTCATGAGACTCATTACGCTGAGTGAATGCTTTCCTGGCATTAAGATACAGAATATACAATACAATACACACAATACATTAATATATGATACAGAATATACGAATACTAATACAATAAATACAAAGTACATAATATAGCAAAAGAGAGAGGCGAGGTTCAAAGTTTTCTATGTTTCTGTGGCAGATTGAGTTACTGTCCAACCAACAGCAGGCGAATATGAGTCAGAAGTGATCGTCCGAGTCATGCGGTGGTCGAAGATCCGCATTCAAAGTCGTCATCTGTGTCCATTCCTATATGCGCGCAAGCGGTTGCGTCCCAAGACTTCAGGTTGTCTTAAGCCTGTGGACACACTAGGGCAAATTTTTCAGGGCGATTGAGTCGGCGACTCAATCGCTGATAAATCATCTTAGTGTGTCACTGAGGTCGTCCGGCGGATTTTCGAGTCGGGCGACCTGATCCAATACATGTTTGAAAAATTGCGGTGATTATTTGAGTCGCGGCGAGCTAGTTATATATACAATGCGGCACGCGAACAAGTGCACTATATATACAGTGCGAACCTATACATATGCTCTACTTACGTGCCCCAATGTACAATTCAATCAGCGAATAACAGTTGCCATTTTCAATCATCGTGACTCATCAATCTAGTGGTCAATCTACTGATCTAGGTGGCGCCGAGACTGAATCGATGATGAATCGCGCTGAATCGCGCTAGTGTGTCTGCACTGAGTCGCCCCGACCAATCGCCCTGAAAATCGTGTAGTGTTTCCACAGCTTTTAGTGACAGCAGACGTGATCGTGTGACACAATTGAAAAGTCTCAACCTTTTAATTGTGATGTCACGATCATCGATTAACTCGATCTCGTGAACAGTGGCTCGCCCAAGCGGCTGTGGTTATCACAAATCCATAATCGATTTCATCGGGAAAAAAAAAAATTTTATTTTATTTTTAACTTGAACAAGAAACTTGGAAACAGTATGAATATAAGAGATATTCATCGCTACTAACATTTTTTAAACTGTATTATACACACAGTAGTAACAGTGCAACAACAATAAACAGGGCTAAACAAGCACATACATGCACACGACATTACGCACACACAGGCATTCAACACCCCGAGTAACCGATTGTAACTGATCGTCGGTTACTTGGGTCCAACCAATGATCGATTACGAAATTACAACCGATTGACAACACTACCTTTAATATCCTCTTCAAGATCATTGTAAGATCCTCTGTAGGACTTATTTTTCCAAATACAAATAAGTATTTTTCAAAGACATTTTAAAGATATTAGGTCATCAACATGTGTATAGATATGTGTTTATAATTAAATTTCTCAAAAGAAGGATGTTTCTTTATTGTAAGATACATCATGCTATGCAGTGAGGAAAAAAATCATATAATTAAATTGAGTGCTCAGCCTTTTAGTTTGATATTTGCTAAATTTCTACAGATAGAGGATGGTGGAACAAGTGCCATTGATTTGGGCACGGTACACCCAGGCAGCAAGTCCGTGGCTACAATTAATGTACTGAACAGAAGCTTCTGCAAAGTTCCAGTCGCTATCGTACTGTCTTCGTCCACCCGCTTCCTACACTGTCTTCAATTTGTGGGCGGAGAGCGACGGATACAGAAAGTCCTTCCAGCCGGTGGGTGTGAGAAACTCGAAATCGACTGCCAGTTGCTTTCGAAAGATATAGACAGTGAGTAATGTTACTAATTACTTTATTTACCATCGTTTACAATAACTATCATGATTTCAAGTGGGCGTGTGTTCTCAGCCAATTCATAGCTTTTTTGGAAAATAAAGTTAAAATGAGTTAGATCCATATAAAGTTATAAGAACTTACACTGACGAAATTTTTGTCTATCTCACCGATAGACTTCTTCCATAAAGATCCGATGAAATTTTTCAATCGTGGTTTTTTTGTTGCTTCTCGCGTGATGATGCTAAGTTCAATGATGCCTTTAGGCATGCCAGTTATTTGCTTTCCTGTTGCCATTTAGATGATGATGCTAAATTATGTGTCATTTTAGGGCATGTCAACTGTTTGCCTTCCTGTTACTTTGCAGGTGAGAATGCGAAGATCTGTGATGTTTTAGGCAGATTAGAGATTGATCTGGATGGACCTGGATATGTTCAACTAGCATGCCGGGACCTGAAGATTACTGCGGGCGTTGTAAAACTGAGTGTCATAGGCGATGTGAAGGTATGACGGTATCACAGGGGTAGAAATTAACTTTTGAACAAACGAGTCAAACGGACTACCTACCCTCAAAAAGAGTCCACAGCAAAACGAGGGGGTCCGCAGTCTGAAGTTTAAAACTAAAGATATTAACAAAGAGGAGATTAAATATTGCGGTGCACCTCTGCCAAATTTTCTTGAGACATTTGCTAAAAAAAAATATGGTAATTACGCGAGGCCTACCTAGTTAGTATAGCAGAATTTTCAGGGAGTCACACGGACTCCTGCATATATGTCAAATCAGGGGCAGGGAGTCCGACAGTAAATCGGGGAGTATTTGACTAACGGACTCGGACACTCGTAGGAGAGATGACTAGTGCTCTCCTTACTCTCACTAGAGGGGAATTAGCTCAGGCAACCCAGTATCCCTTTATTTCACACCTGGAACCGATCAAGGGCAGGGACCTAGGGACCGTGCAGCCCTTGACACCTACCGACTATAAAATCCACATAATTTGGTAGCATAGTTTAATCCGAAAAACAAAATAAGCATGACACAATTCACAGTTTAACAGCAGTTGTTTACCAACTGCTCCATGATATTGATTTGTAAGCATTCATTGTAAGCTGGTTAAGCATACAGTTTGTTAGGTAGTTTCTCTTAAAGTATCGCGATATGTATTGTATCGTGAGTTACGTGTATTGCCCGACCCTGACATAGCGCCTTGTCAACGCATGCGACCTAGGGGTCGTAGGACTAAGTGAAACTGCATGGCTCCACGGCCTTGGAGCTAGGGGCTGATCTACACTTGACACCTACTGACTAACCGATACCTGGGACCTAGAGACTTATCAGCACCTGCCAACTAGTGACCGTAGGACCAAGTGAAACCTCTGACCTGGTACCCAGTGACCTTTAAACCACGTGACCTTTAACCTTAAACCTAGAGACACCTGGGACCTAGTGACGTTTGAACCAGTGACCTGGATGTAGTGACGTTTGAATCTAGTGACATGCGGTGACCTAATGAACAGCGCGCTGCGCTGCGTTCGGCGGTCGTTCTTGCAGGAGGTGAACATGGAGCGGAGCAGTGAGAAGAGTCTCGCGCTGTACAACGGTGGCACGCTCGCCGTCGTCGCCGAGTGCAGTGTGTCCACAGCGGCAGACGCCTTCAGCGTCGACTGCTCGCGCTTCAGGTTGGCGCCGGGAGAGACACACAGCATCACGCTGACCTGTAGCGAGCCCGGAGCGTCGGCTAGAGGGTGAGATGTCATGTACACACGCATGCACGGCGCATAGAAAAGAGAGAGTGGCGGGAGCAAGAGAGAGTGGGGGAAGAGAGAGAAAGAGAGAAGCTAGAGAGTGAGACGTCATGGTTCACACGCATGCACGGCGCACAGAAAGAGAGAGAGAGAGCAGAGGGTAAGGGTGAGATGTCAGTGTACAACGCATGCACGCGCACAGAACAGAGAGAGAGAGGCTAGAGGTAGAGGGTGGGGAGTGTCATGTACACCACCGCATGCACGCGCATAGAAAGAGAGAGAGCGGGAGCAAGAAAGAGTGGGGGAAGGAGAGAGAAAGAGAGAGTGAGAGCAAGAGAGAGTGGGGGAAGGAGAGAGAGAGAGCGAGAGCGAGAGTGAGAGCAAGAGAGTGAGCTAGAGAGAGCTAGAGGGTGAAACGTCATGTACACACGCATGCACGCGCACAGAAAGAGAGAGAGAGAGAGAGAGCTAGAGGGTGAGACGTCATGTACACACGCATGCACGCGCACAGAAAGAGAGAGAGAGAGCAAGAGAGAGTGGGGGAAGGAGAGAGAGAGAGTGAGAGCAAGAGAGAGAGAGGGTGAGAGAGATAGAGAGAGAGAGAGAGAGAGAGAGAGAGAGAGAGAGAGAGGAGAGAGAGAGAGAGAGAGAGAAGAGAGAGAGAGAGAGAGATGAGAAGAAGAGAGAGAGAGAGAGAGAGAGAGAGAGAGAGAGAGGAGAGAGAGAGAGGAGCAGAGAGAGAGAGAGAGAAGAGAGTTAGAGAGAGAGAGAGAGAGAGAGAGAAGAGAGAGAGAGAGGAGAGAGAGAGAGAGAGAGAGAGAGAGAGAGAGAGAGAGAGAGAGAGAGAGAGAGAGAGAGAGAGAGAGATGAGAGAGAGAGAGAGAGAGAGAGGGAGAGAGAAAGAGAGAGAGAGACGAGAGAGAGAGGAGAGAGAGGGGGG